CATAAACAGTCTTCCCAGTATCCTGGAAAAGCTACAACCAGGAGAAGATAACATAGATGAATGGGACCTTCTAAGACTCAAATCCCTATGCACATCATCTTCTTTATTAAGGTTATGCTTCATTCTTCTTGATTGGTGACAGCCTTTCTTTGATTATTTTACCAGTTAACACGGAAATGTTAGACGTTGTCATTCATCCTTCTTGGAGTTGGGGGCTCTGATACCTTAGTGGTAAGGAGTCCCACTGCTAACCCAAAGGCAGGCAATCCAAATCCACCAGTTGTTTCTAGAGAGAAGGATGAACAATCTCTTCTCTTGCAGTATGCCGTCTCTGAAAACTTATTGGAGGATCAGCTATAAATGATTCCCCCTCAGTGACACGTACCCACCATGACAACATGAGTAGGGAGGAGTCCCAGGTTGGCACAAATGGTTAATCAGCTAGGCTGCTAAGTTAATTGTTGAAGTTCATATCTAGTCTTTTCAGAAGAAAGACTTGGTAATCTACTTTTAAAAATCAACCATTGATAACTCTGGGGTATAGTTCTACTCTGTCATATATATATTTGCTAGTTGAGCTAGAGCCAACTAGATGAAAAATAGTTATATATAAAGTACACCTTTTTAATCTTTAAACTGTCCCTCCTTGTGTTTTGCAAATTAACTCACAGGAGGATTAGACTATTTATCTTAGTTTTTTGTTCAATACAATCACTGATTACTACATACCAGTATGCTACAGAGACCTATTTCCTTCCAGAAATCTGGATTTCAAAATAGCGATCATAAGATCTGCAACAGAGTATTTAAAAAGGCTTTAAGGATATAGGTGGGATCTGAATTAAGTTGGGTGCCTACATATTTTCCTGGGGAAGCTGTCACTTAAAAACATTTTTTAAAGCTAAGTTTGAGTTAAGGACTGATAGAAAAGAGAGTAGAAGAAATGCATGTTAACACGTTGCCGCAAATGATGGTAATACATCAAAAAAATGTGTTTCTAAGCATGGTCGCCAATTTATAAGTGTGTGGCACTGTGTTAAGAAAAATGTACAAAGGGAAGATGCTGGTATGCGTCTTTCCTGGGCACAATAAGCATTTTGGTGTAGCTAGAGTTTCAGATGTGTGTGGATGATGTTCAGGGTATTAATCCCTTAAGTTGCACTATTTTGCCAGGAAGGAGACATTGATGTTAGTTTCAGGAAGTCAGGGTCACTTGTATCTTGGATCCATTCTCTAGCTTCCATTTCCATCCTACTCATTGGCCTCAGTCTAATGTCGTACAGTCCTTACTCACCTACACCAGTTAGTCTACTGAGGGTACATGGTATAGCAGCCAAGGAGCGAGACTTGGTTTAAGAGAGATTTAAACTTCTCCAGTAGATGGAAATGATAAATAAAT